ATCACTTTTAAAGTGTTCCTATCTCTATTCAGAACCAGAGACTGTTTAAATAAAGTTCAAGTTGACCTTCCACTAAAAATAGGATAATGTTCAACTAATTAAAAATAACAGACAATAAAAAAAATCCTTTATGTGCTACCAAAAGGTTTTTAAATTCTATTTTTGTTAAATGCAATTTCCTCATTTCTCCTTTTTGTTATTTGCTGAGGGTTATCTATTGCAACATTATACTATACTGTTTTGCTTAACAAATGTCTATCTCTTACTCACTTGCAATGTGGTAAAAAAAAAAAAAAAAACCATGGTCTTCACTTCTCTTTGTAGAGCTGCTACTCTTGCCAACTGAATTTGTTGTTTCATACCCATGCATTACCCTAGGATGCTTCACCATCACATACCATTTTATGTAACAATTTTCAAATTGATATAAAGGCCTGCATTATTTGTTTTGTCCAGTGACCCAAATAGTATAATTCTTCTTCCCTGCTGTCTACAGATACACACAAAATAACCACAAAAATTAAGGGTAGCACATGTGATTGATACTTCTTAAGTATATATTAATTTGAGATATGGATGAAAATAAAAGAGAAATGGTTCTCAGAAACAGCATAAGTTTGGATGCTGGCAAGCAGCTAGTTAGCTAGCACCGACAAGAGCATGATCTAAAAAAGAGGACTGAAAGACAGTATTTAAGCAAAACCATAATCCCATCACACCATGCCTGTATACACGGACAGACCTCTAACATGCAGATTAACTCCTCCAGTGGGGTTCCTTGTGCTCCACAGCACCCTATTTCATCTACCAATTCAGACAACCAGTTTCAAATCAAAACATGGGTCAGAAAAAAAACCCTACTTTGATGATTACATCATTTCTGGTGAAACAGCTTCAGAAATAAGGACTGAAGACATTCCTGTCCGTTTTGAACTCCACTCTCATGCCAACTCAAAAGGATTTGGATAAACAGCAACCATTAAAAAAAAACCTACAAAAAAAAAAAAAAATTCATCCAATGACTCTCTTCCAAGGCAGATTAGTTTCCTAACATCAACCAGCTGCTAAGGAATAGGAGAGAACAGCAACAATTCATTATGCATTTTTTCTAAACACCTGCCACCAAGGCCCAGTTCTTTGCTGTTGGATGTCTTTTGGGCTCACTAGCTCTGAACATAGCTCGTCTTTCATAAGAGGAATCCAAATGCATTTTACATAATGGAAAATTGTCTTCGTGTACATAAAGATTTTGAAATATGTCAAGTGTTACATTGAATGTAACAGCCCTCCACTACGCCTCACTTATAAACAAGTGCCTTTTATATTTTAAAATCAAAAATAATTGAACAAAATTACCTTGTACAGTAATTCAGCATTTTCAAAACGGAGGTGATAAACGTACATTTACATGAACTTTCCTTGCATTAGATGCAACATCCAGCAAAGAAGTAAGAGGTAAGTTAAGCATTTCAAAACGACAGCATCCATGCAACATTTTACCCTTCCTTTTCCAATATTCCAATATGTTTTTTCATATTTGGAAAATATGCAAACACATTGCACAACTTTGTCTACTGGCTTCGAGTGACAAGAGCACGATGATTCAAAATATTCAGAACATTTTAAAAAAAATGTTTAAAAGTTCTTTTCCCAGAAAGCTGGTTAAGAAAACCAGCTTTTTAACTCAAATTTTCAAGGCAATTATTTGATTAAGAACTGTAGTTCCATTCACAGCTTCATGTCCTTTTTTTAAGTGGAAAATTCCCTTCACTCCTCTTCAATCTTACCTTTTGAATCGAGACTCTAACAAGAGGTGGTAGAAACAACTCTGTTAAGAGCTCCTCTTGATGCAGCTTGACTCCAGAGGCACTGACAGTGAGACAGCAAACAGTCGTCTGTCATTCCTAGCCTGTGAGAAACAAAATAGGAGGGTAAGAGAGTCAAAATGGGGAGGGCAGTACCCATTTGGGACCTCCTCCTAAACTTATCTCCTGACTTCACTGACAACTTGCTACTGAAAATACCACTTAAAGAAATCCCAAACTCATTCCTAGTCTTGCAAACTTAGTTGGGTGCTGAGCTTTTAGACCCTAAATCAGGCACCACTGGAATCAATGGCAAAGCACCCTCAGAAGTCAATGAGGTTTCGGTTGAACATGAGAGGTGGAAAAGGGAAGAAGGAAAGCAAAGTCCTTTATTGTAATATCCAGGTCAAATATAGTTGCAGTGTACATACCATACAGTTAATACAAACCATGCTGCACATGACAATCTTCCCCATTTATCTTCACAAAATACTCAAAACAGAATTCCAGACTTATAATCCCACATTTATAATATTTTCTACTAAGGCAGACATTTAAGAAATGGACATGAGTTTTGCTAATTTGCTATTATCACAGATTTCAGTACCCCTAAGTGTAGTATGCAATAGTGCTCATGTAAAAAAACTCTAGAAACTCTGAAAAAGCCGAGGTTGCCCAATATTTATATCTATTCTGCTAGAAACTCTCTATTCTGCTGCTTAAGATCTTAACGGTCTTAAACCATTCAGTCTGAAAAATTGTATGAAGTCTACGTGTCAGGCTGAATTTTCTTTTTGGAATATTTGAAAGACAGCAGTTTTTTGTTGATTTAGGGGTAAAAATGGCACTGACAGCCTGAAGGTTGAGGTAATCTGACACCAGCTAACAGCATTGGAGAGGCTCAACTAGAAGAAAAAAAGACACCTGAGGAATGAGTACATACTGTGACTACTCACAGGTGAGGAAAAAAACCAAGACTTGGTCAGACATAAGAAACACTGGGGGGAGAATCAATCACATTTTGGGCCCTGTCATGCAAGAGCCAGAGGATTTTGTTCTTCTGCAATCGAGTCAAAAATTATTCATAGAAGTTAAGCAGACTTTCCTAGATCACATAATAATTTATTATGGGGAAATGTACCTGGTATTGCCATATTAAACTTACAATTTCATTCATAATTCATTACTCTCAGAATTTTTTCAAGGCTCAACCTTGAAAGATAATCCTTGCTTCATGAATTTAGAAGGCACGAACAACAATAGTCAGAGAAGAAAGCTGCTGGAGTAAGAAATATTTAATTTTCTGAGCACTGTATTAAAACTACATGATGCAATCCAAGCCTCAGTCTTCCAAACTGCAGTTAGTATTTCTCAGCATTTGCTACCTCTCTTACGTACTTCATGAATGTTACTTGAAAATTAAGAACAAACAAAAATGCAGTTCCCTTAACTGCAAGATGCAATATAGACAAGTAGAGGTACATAGATGATCCTCATTACACTTTTTTTCATCAACAGATCTTTGTAACTACATCAGTGCTTCATTTATGAAGCAAATTACTACAGCAGTGAACAGATATCCTTCTTATTTTAATAGGCACACTAAGGAGAGGTGTGGAAAATGCCAGTTTTATTTGAAGTTATTTGTCCTGTCATCCGCATTACCAAATGAGGAATGTGATTCAGGTGCTTAAGCTAAGCAGCTAAGTGCCATTTTAGATACTGAAGGGTATCCATCACACAAGCCTCAAGGGTACTGTGAGTTTCCCATAGACTTCAACTACATATGCTGGGGCTCAATATGGGGATACTTTATGAGGCCAAAAATGTCTAAAATGGCTCTAGACACCTATGCTCAGGCATTTGAATCATTCCCAAGTTGTCTTTATCTTAACAAATCCTCCTATTAATTTGTTGCTATAAAGCTTTTCCACCTGAACTTGGGTTTGACAGATCACGTGTGAAACACAGGTGGCAGGCACATGTCACTACAAGAAAGCATTGCAAATTTTGAAGTCTTCCAGACTTCCTTAACAGCCTTCTTGTAACATCTGCTCTGTATCAATTAGTTATAACTCCTCATCTCATAACTTTATATCTTGCTAAATTTAATCCTCCAATTTCTATAGCTAGCCCACCTTCCACTAACTTTATTTTTAAGCAGTTTTAATTCGTTGTTGTGCAGTGTTTTGCTGGTCAATCCAATCTAATGGCATCCACACAGAAAAATTAGTTCTCACCACAGAAATACCAGTCATTTTGCTGTGAAAACTACATTAAAGTAACTACTATATAAAACTTGAGTTCTTCCTCAATTCCCTTGTCCTCTTTTTTTTTTTAAGTGTATTTTTAGATAGATGAAGTTATTCCTTTGTTTAAAGATTTCCTTCCTTTTCTGTTACATTTAATACATTTACAAAATAGGCAATCATTCATTCAGGTACTTGCAGAATTCAGTAGCTTCTTACAGGACAGAAATTTGGCAATCCCTCTGGCAAAGAGCTGTATATGCTGGAGTTACATCACTCTGTCATACCAAGGGAGTTCATTCTTCAGTTTTTTAAACCAAAATGAATCAACAAAGCAGCATATTCACTAAGCAGTATCAAAAGGTTTAACTCAACAGAGAAAAAGAAGCCAATGGCAAAAGGCCACAAAACCCTACTCCCCACCCTTCCTTCCCTCCATTCTGCTCTCCAGTTCATGGTGTCTGTTCAGACGGATTATTTTAAAAGCTCTATAACTTCAGGGCTGCAGTCAAAACCAGCAGGTTTTGAACAGAGGTCTTGCCATCCCAAACCAATAAAAATAAGCACCTTGTTGCAAAAGGCCCTGAAAGCACTTTCAAATTTTGCCTGACGGAAGTTAGGCAAAAAGACTGAAGAGTGTCTGCACTAATTCACCCTAAACAGAGCAGCACGGGTCAGTGCACGCATTTCCCTGGCAAGTGGGCCAGCAAAGTGGATGAAAGCAGAAGACACTACACTAAAAGACATCTGTCACAACGCCTGTATTAAGCGTATTTTTGCCTACCTACATTCTCCTACCATTCACACCACGGAAGTTAGTTTAAAAGCCATAAACAGCTCTGTGCCAAAAGCAAACAGGTTCACAATGCACTAGAGTATTCCATTGTATCCAATAACAGCTCTCTGAGACATATTCTCTCTTCAGTAGGAGGGGACATTCACATACCTCCTCTTTCCCCTTGAGAGGCTTCCAGGTCTCTAAACTGAGGGCAGTCCGTCTCAACAGCCTGTTGAAGACACACGCTCCTGTTACAACCTGCATTCCAACACACCCACCTCCCTGTTTCCACCTCTCTCCCCTTCTGTCCTCTGCCTTCTTCCGCCACAAGAGGACACAGGTGCTCCTGCCGCATTACCTGAAGCAAACCCGCCCGAACTGAAGCCGGATCTGAGGTAGGAGGAGCCCGCCCCCCGCTCCTCACCGTCTCTGACCCTGTCAGGAGAGGCGAACATCCGCGCCGCGAGTCGACGCTCGACGAGCGCCAACACCCGCGGACCCGCCCTCGCGGCTCTCTGACAGGCACATGGCGGGCCGAGGGGCGGCTGGCCTTCGCGCCCGGTTTGTGCCCTGAGAGGTAAGTTATAGAGCGACTTTCTCTCTTTTATTTCACCCACTGCCCGCCGAGCTGCTGCTTTTTACCAACAAAGTTTCTTCTTTTACACAGCTCTGGTTCTGCAGGGAGCTCGCAAGCGGCGCCTACGACGAGGGCTGTTTCCCCACCAAACCTGTGAGGAGACCCGCCCGGACGGCGCCGCTGCGGCTCCCCGCAGGGGGAAGTGAGATTTCCACAGACAGGTGCTGCCATTGGCAAATGCTCCTGTCAGATCCGCTTCCTAGCGGTGCTTGTGAGAAACGAACAGGCACATGTGCACTAAGCCTATTTGGTGGTTTGATTTTTTTTTTTAAGTTAAATAATTTTATGTCAGTGTATCACTCCTTCTGAGATGAGCTGTTTTTGTTCAGGTGCTAGGTTTTGCTGTATTTTGCTAACTGTCATGATTTTTTCATTTGGTTCTTAAGAAGGCAAGGTTCTGCTTTTCTATCCAGAGCCCCCCAGCAGAATGTAGAATTTCACAGCTTTGAATGAGAGCTGGACCTGTCAGACCCAGCACTTCTGGCAAAGCACATTGGAACTTTAATAAATGAAATTTAAAATCAAACAAGGTATTTATTAAACTAAACAAAATTTCAAGTCAAATAAGGTGTCCATATCTACATTGGGTGGACACAATCTGTAGTGCATCCCAGTCTTGGTCCGCGCTCATCCAGGTAAGGAAGCTGGCTGATTAACATCAGGGTTTCCTGCATCTCATGTACCTGGATTTCATTCCCACAGAAGGCAAGTCAAAAAGTTGTAACTAGTGAGTGGTTGAATCTAGCCCCAACATAGCATCAGGGCATGAACAGAGTGTGACCAGACCCAGAACCTTAGACTTACCCCTGTTTCCAAACAGGATAGGTGTCATCATGTTTGCTTAAATAATTTAGATGACACTAGGCCAAAGGAAATTTTTAAATCAAATTCTTTAACAAAATTTCACACTGCTGCGATAACTTGGGATGCTAGCTGTCACTTGAATTACTTCAGAAATAACAGGTTTTTTTTTTTTCTTTTACTGACAGCAAATTCCAATATTCTGACTGTCCATTTGCCTTCCACTATTATGTAAGTAAATTCAGTAATCGGAAAATTTTCAGTTGCTTTACTAATGTATTTAGTTTTAATGGAAGTCCTATGGAGAGTTAATATATTTCACATTTATACATTATTATATAATCAAACTTGTCAGAACTGTAATTGAATCTATAAGCTATGATTTTATACAAACAACAGATAATATTATTTAAAGAGAGAACTCTTTAAAAACAGCCTGCTTATAAGGCACTACTTCCCACTACTACTGAGAAGCCATGCAGTATGAAATTATCAGTATGGAAGCTTAAATTGCAAAATTAATCATATCACCATGAATATCAGAAATGAAACAGTGGTGCCTGCAGTTCCTGAACCCATGTTTAGGTCCAAAACCTATCTTTTGAAATATGCACCAGGAATACTTTTCTTAAGTAGGAAAGGCTACCAAGGTGAGAACAACCAAAGATCAAAAAGAGATTAGAATATTCACGAAGATCACAAGATTTTCAGACAATTCAATAAAAGCACCTTACCACTGTGTTTCTCCACTTGCAACCCACCAGCGACAGACATCGTCAACAATACAGACCTACAAAAATTAAACTTTTAACCATGAGTGCTAATATTTTATACCATAATTTCTGCACAAGAAAAATGCTAACGGTAGATGTTTAATTAGTAGATCTTTTAATATTGTATAAGGATGTATATGTAGGTGGTTTGTTTGAAGCAGAGGACACTGAGCTGAAAGACCCATGGTAAGTTGACTTTAAAGGATAATCAAAGCTGTATCTATTCTATCTGTTACTGAGTTTTAGCTTTCCCACATTCAAGGTTTATAATTCAAAATATACAAACTACTTGATTTTACATATATAAAGAATTGCAAAGGTTTATTGCTACAATCTGTCACTGAGGCTTAACAGGAATTAGAGTGGTCTTTTACCCAGGATAATTACAACCCATCAATATTACAAATGGCTTTTGTATTTAGGCACAAATGTGTATTTCAGGGTTAAGCCAACCACTGATCAACAAGGAGATTTTCTGATGAAGGGATTTTTTCATAGTTGCCCACTGTCTCATTTAAATTTTCTTCTAAAGCATCTGCTGATATGGAGGTACTAACTCAAGATGCACCTTCTGGTTTTACCCAATTCATAATTACTCTGTGTATGACAATGAGAAACATAGCCTGTAAAGCTCAGCAAAATCACAGTTTTTAATTACAACTATTAAGAAAACTCTGTATATATTATTTTTATGGTGGAAAAAAAATCTATCAAATTGGAAAAATATGATGAAATGAAAAATGCAAAAAAGTGTTTGAGTCACACAAAAGGGAACAACTCTTTGAAGTAAATTAGGGTCTCCGTACCTACATAGGGACTTGTGCTCAGAACAGGGACAAGTCAAGCAGTACTGAATGGGAGCCAGAAGCATGTTTTATTTTCACACAGGTGGTACAAAAATATTGAGTGCTTAATTAGGGAGAATTCTCATAGAGCATGCAAAAAAAAAAAATACTGAATTAGTATCTGTATCACAGCCAACTTATTTTGGTGTAGTGGTTAGAATTAGAAGTGATGCGTAACAGCTTTTCATGTTATTTAGCATTCATATCTAATAGTCTCTAAATGTCTTAATGGAAATAGCAACAAAAAATTGGAGAAAAGCTAAATAAATCACTTCCCCAAATGATCCTAAATGATTGTAAGGATATTATATTTAAAAAAGCACACCAGAAATAACATGCATTTAACATCAATCTTACACTAAGAATATAGCTATTCCATAAT